ATGACGATGGAATTGGTCGTTCAAGAACACACTGAAATGGTCCATAGGTATGATTACCTCGCAAGTGGTTGTTTCATAAAATGGGACATAAATAATGTTCGAGGAGCGTCGTGATACATTCATTGTGCACCTGTAACGACGACAAGTCAGATATTTCAGAAGAACAAGTGATATAAAGAATTACGGTATTTAAGGCATCTACTGGCAGTAGGCTATTGCATATCACTTGACCAGCCTGCAATGATTAGTAATAAATCACATAAATGGGCAGATTGCGATAAAGAGTAAGTCCTAATTACATGCTGTTATAATGAGCGCCACTATTAGCTATAAACCTCAAAACAGAGAGGAAAGTTAATTCAGTTTTTGAAGTTCTTACTAAAGTAGGTCATGTATCTTACGAAGAAATTTCAAGCAGAACGAGGCACTGATATGAACTTTCATTTCATGCGCAGTTCATTGGGATAAATGCGATTCTGTTTTGATTTCTAGTTAAAATAAATTATGCAAAGATTGAGTTTTGCGTAACCACTAACCAATCCGGTGACGATTCTGCATCTAATGATGATGAGCCACCTGCAGAGAGGGCCTAGCTTATATTAGTCCTTGCGTTTGGATGAAAAGCCTTATTGGACTGGATTCGCGGCTTGGGTTGTGATGGGAATGTGGTTTTGTCAGGCTGTACATGGCAAATTTGTTTGATTCAAAGGTAAGCTACAGTTCACAATTCTGCTGTCCCTTTGCTCACGAAGACGCACTCCTATAAAATCTGTGCATCTTTTCCACTTGCTTCTTCGTTATGCAGTCGCCAACATGCATGCCATTCTTCTTCTGCTTAATTCTGTCTAACATAATATCCTCTCTAATATGGATCTTTAATCTACCATTATGCGCTTCAGAATTTCCTTGTATTCTTAACCAATAAAAGGATACAGACACCACGAGCAATCTGCAGAGCTTAGTCAAATGGATCACAGGAACAATATGAATTCAACTACTGTCACTGCGTTAATCAAATGGAGATATGGGAGAAATATACGGTCACTGGTACCTCGTTTTGTTTGAAACTGCTTCGGAAGGCACACCACCTACCTCGAAACAGTTAGTTAGCATTTTTAATTAGTTAGCAGAATAATGGCATTCTTTGTAAACAGCACTAATTGTTTCTTTTCAGGAAATTTTGTTCATGAAAGGTTGCTGCAACTGTCAACCAGTTCTGGAAGATGAGGGATTTACGTCTGTATTAATCCAAAAAAGGCACTGTAAAATGTTTTCATAGCGCCTAGCCTCTGAGCAGTGAATGACGTCTCTAGCAATGCAAGTAGATGATCATGACAATGCTTGATGGATACAATTAGGAAATAAGGAGAAGATAATATTCAAAATTGCAGTCATTTTCTTGCGGGGTTACACCCCCGTAACATGTTTATTATGTTTGTGATCCATCTTCAGAGAGTCAAAAATCAAATGTTTTAGACTTGCTAGGAACTGTTGTATGGTGAAAAATTACTGCAATTTTAAATTGAATTCTGCCGTTAAAGATTTCCTTCTGTTATATTCTAGCTGAATCTGAGGGTGTTTTTTGTACTGATGAGGTACTCTGCTAATAAAATGATGTTCATTTTGAGAATGGTGGCTTTTAAAACTCACTGGTAATTAACCGGAAACCTTTCGTTGGTAATCAACTGAGCGATTTTCTCAACGCGTTGATGTTGGCGTTTCTTCAGGTGTTTTTCTTCTAGACCGTTTTGTGCATCGCATTTATCCTCACCCGCAACAGTCGTCTCGAATATTCAGCTCGTTTTGCGGGAACGGTGAACTGTCCGAGTGGGATATGGAAACGGGTACCAGGCAGTGCGTATTTTGGCCTGCTGCTACGCCTCCGCTTTCTTACCATGAAGTGACTCACGGCGATTTTACCTGATGCTCTCATTAATGCCGTGACGCTCATTCCTTTAGGCTGAATCTGACGCTACGAATAGAGCCACGTCCATTACCGGATCGTTGACTACTACGGCTGCCTACTTGTATGTACTAGGCGACGAAAACTCCTTGTCGATAATTACCGGAGACAGTACCGGGACGTTAAGATACTGGAACGATACGAACTACAGTAGCAGTGGCATACTGTCTTCACCTCGTTTTTCCTCTCATGGCTGTGGAATGTAAGTTAAAATTCTGAAGCCACCGTTTTACAAGGGATTTTAGGAAGCAAATAACCGACGGCATTGCCGTGTTTACGTGCTTAGACAAGACCGCGTCCCGTAAAGTGGAATTCGGTTTGCGAAACCCCCATGACATTAAAGTTTCTGCAGCGCATATCGATCGGATAACGGACGTTAAAGTTTGTTTTACTGAACAATTGTTGATGATATCGTCATCGAGTGATGGCATCATTAAAGTATGGAAATAAAGTGTACATATGTATCTAAGAAAGAAGTGCTGTTTTGCGCCCATGTACTGCAAATGCTATAATACCATGGAGTCGTGGCTAACCAGCTTAAGCATTTCTCTCCGCTAGTTAAAGAGAGGATGATGATGCAGTTACTACTTACAAATCTGAAGAAGTAACAGGAGATTAGGAAGAGGTAATTTGTAGCCATTGTCCTGCCAGTTTTTTTTGCATTTTCATGATGAGTTGCAACTGTACCGCCAACTCTTTCCCTGTGAGGCTTCTGAAACGATTCTGATCACCGCCTGATTTAATCACGGTCGGTCATGGGATCCTTGTTCATAAAAACGCTGCATGAAATTATTTGTCAAGCATAGCATTTTCTCCTGTAATTCTTGTTTGCCTCCAAATAAAGATAAGTGACATACTCAGATTTAATTTCACGTTGTTCCACTGACTAAAGAATGTAAAGTGATTGGTCCAGCGAACATGGTTTTCACAAAATTGTATCGTTCGTGATTGAATCCTTGTCACTAACTTGTCAGATGGTGTCGTGTTTATCCACATAATCGACAGTTCGTCATCACTTTGCTCAGTTTACTTAAGCGATGCATTGCAGTGAACTCTTCGCTGGTGTATTTGCATCGTGCTTCAAATGATTGCCAAACCTCGTTTCATTTCAGCATAATCAATATGAATGAGCCGGTTTGTCATCCATAAATTAGGGTTTCCTCATTTACTGTGTATTTTGACATTTCTCTCTTCGAGATGAAGTGTTCAGTGCAAACGGGCCCTTCTAGGGGACATTGGCACTATTTAGTAAATAAGGCAAAGTATGGCTACACTTTGCACTTAGCCATATTATTTAGGAGTTTGCTGCACCCGAAGGATTTTTCTAAAAGGGTAACGGTAGTTAATACCTAAAGAGGGTATATAGCATGCATTGCACAACTAGGCAACTTGCAGCGTTCTGGTAGTGCAGCATGTCGTGCAACTGTGCGCTTGATGACGTATTTTGGCGTACGAATCCATATTTTTAGACTTCTATATATTACGTTAAAGTTATAAGGAACCTTACCGAACGAAGCTTTTTACTCGAAAATACTTATCAGATGTTGGACTACAACTACGTTGTCCAGGCAGCTCCGCACTACAGTCTCAGAACTATTGAGTGTGATCTTATTGTATGAGTAACGAATTGTTTTTTTTGAGGCACTGATATACATGACCCGAACATTTTCATGCTAAAATGCAGTCATACGCACAGAAGACCTATAAAAGTTTATTTGTATGAAAAACTTTTATTTCCACTGTGGTGTTAACTTTAATCATCAACTTTAGGACTCAGTTAATTTCTCTGTTGTAAACATTTATTCAACTTTTATTAAAATACAAAGTATATTAACCAAAACATTCTTCGTTAACAGTTTCACTTTCACAGCAGCAGCTGAGCACTAAACCTTGGATCCATTTCTATACAAGTAGAAATAGTCCGACCTCATATGCAGAAGTTTGTGGTCGGTATGATTCGATGACCACGGATCATGAAGTAAAGTCGTTGCATAAGAGTCTAACCAGTCTTGTATACCAGCAGTATATACAGTATATATCGCTGTTTCTAATTTACATATATAGACATTTATGCGTCATCTAACGCAGCGTGATGGAAGACCAGACTTTGTTAGCAAAACAAATTGCTTGCAAAATACAATCGCTTATGGCAAAATAAAGAGCTAGCAATAAACAACATAAGTTCACCATGAAGCCCAGTCGGAAATTAGGTATTTCACCGGAAGTTCCTCTGTTCTGATGAGCAAAAGACTGACTTTCGTGACTCATATCCGAAACGTAACGAATTAGCTCGTCACATTTGTCGAAATCAGTCTTCATACTGTTTCTTGACGCAGTTGTCTTCTTCAGGTAATTCACTTGCTTTATTGTCAAGCCTTGTAGGAGGTCGGCAGAGTGCGTCCCGCATTTTTCTCTCAACGGTTGCATGAAGCATGTCAAAGCAGTCAGCGAATTGCTAAAACTCGCAGAGTATTTTTACAAAAATGGAAGCCACCATCGTATGTTATTTAGGCGAACGTACAGTACGACTTGTAACTTCAGAAATTCAACTGGTTCGCTCCTCGTGTGATAGTGATCATATAATTTTTTTCCGACTCATTGCTTTGATGGTATGAGGAAGGTCGGCCAACCCTTTAAAATGAAATGTATAGAAAGTCTGGAGGGCGAAGCCAATAAAATGGAAACCAAGACGGCAATGCAACCGTAATCAGATACAAGCCCATGAACGAGGAAGTTTGCTAATTGCCTCGTGGTGGCTTGAAGATCAGGGGCCAATCATCTGGTGATAAATATCCTCGATGGTACGAGGATGTGCGTTGTGCGAAATTTTGCCCTTGCTCCCACATTATGGAGGAAAAGTACCGGCATTTAGCAGCTATTCGTTTGAGCAAAGGAAGTGATTTATTTTTTTTAATGCACTGGCAATACTCTATTCAAGAAGCATCCTGCAGCAAAATTTCTCTCCACGCCAAGTGACGCTGAATGCGAAAGTAATTCACTAAACGTGCAAAACACAACACAGAAAAGACTTGTGCCAAGATGATTTAAGTGCACCGGCATCTTCACGGAAATATACTAGCTAAGCTGACGCTTCGAGGAACCATTAAGCACATGATCATGTGAAAAGATTGATGACGAATGTGGATTCTGCGAAAATTACATCAGCCCTACAGCAGATGCACCTGAAAATCAATCGGGCCAGTAGCATGGACTTAGAGCTTCCCTCATCACTCAGCAGCACCAGCTGCCCCAATGCACCGCCGTTAACAAGACGCCATTCTCTTTATCCTGAAGAAGGCACGAGATATGGGCCGAGGCATATCTCGGTCTGTCACTCAGACACTGAACACTAAGGAATAGAAGTAGTAGAAGCGCATAGCTTCATGAACCTTAGACTCTTCAATTAATTAGACAGCGGTTTAAATGTGAAAAGTGTTCCAGCACAGAAACAATCAAAGATACTTCACAAATAATACTGTTATTTGTGACGCGTCTCTGGTGATGGTTTCTGCGTCGCAACATTGGTCACGCCTAATGTCCATAAAGTTGTGCATTTCGTTTACGCTCTAGTGTTTGATAAATCGGATGACTGTCCTTTCATCCTTCCGAGGTGAATAAATGAGCACCTCTTTGTGGGAAGGAAACAAGAGGCTGCACACTATGCTTATCACATAGCTGCTGTCGGCTGCCCTCAAAATGAGGCACTCCTGACCGATGGCACAGAAACTGACATCAAAGACCCTTAGAGAAAAGAAATGCATCAGAATTGAACCTTTCATGAAAGTGTAAGGTGAATCGTTCAATAGGTGTAACGATATTGATCTATATTGATAGACAGGTTGCTTTTGCGACAAACAGTGGCAACAACATCGGGAGACAGAGTTAGCTTTCATGTGACAAAGTTGAGCTTTACGTTAGCCTATGCTCAATTGCCCCTTCGACACGTGATTTAAGAAATGCCGGGCAACAAAATAGCGGGAATTCAATAAAAATTTGCACATAGCAAAATGCCCTGGCACAAACAGCCGAACGATCCATCACCGCAGAGTCATTTGAATCCCATTTGATTCGTTGTTGTTCCCACAACAGGGAAAACGAGAGTTCCATTCGTCTTAATGACTTGGTTTGGCAAAGTAAGTTTCTAACACGTGTTCTTGCGTGAAGGTCGACGTTCATGGACTTTAGCGAGTTCTACTCCGGTCAAGACCATCACTACTGTAAAATAATTCAGAGTCATTTTCCCCATTTTAAACCGAATAACTTGGGGAAGGAGCTGAAAATGAGGTTATATTTTTCCCTAGCTACCCATACTGATCAAATCGTAAGTATATTTAAGCTATACAAACACAGTTGATCGTTTACTGACTGTTTGTGCAATGTATTAAATACACCATTAATAGTGATAATTAAGTATATAACAATAATATCAATCTTCATATGGCTTACTCAGCTGCAGCAAGAAACTTTTATCTCATCTTGAAATTAAATTTGTTGGAACTGGACTGAATATCACATCTGAATGCGTGTCTATTTTGTGCAGTAACTATGTGTATTTTTATTTAATAGACAGCTCTACTTTAGCTAGCTTTAGTAATAGATTTCGAGCTCTACGGCTTGTGCGCATTCGACATATTTTTGATTTCTTGTCGACATGTTTGCTTGATATGGTGAAGATTTATTTTTTAGTCAATCGTACTACTGTTTTTTCTAAATAGTTCAGAATTAGCATCCTGATCAGCTTTTGAGAATCACAGACATTAAACTTCAAAAGTGACGTTGCCTCTGTTAGACAAACTGGTTGAGCATAAACCATTTGCTCTACCCCGCGAGCTCTTCGTGTTGGAGACGAAACATGGCAAACATCAACCTTGAGGCTACCATGCAATCAAACAAAAAAGAGGGGCAGTTTTGAGTAAAATCTCATTTCGATGAAAAGGAGTTTCTTCTATGATGTAGTGACC